TTTTTTTAAAAAAAAAAAAAAAAAAAAAAAAAAAAAAAAAAAAAAAAAAAAACATAATGACATTGTAGGATGCATAAAACAAATATACGAATTTAATGAATAATTTTAGCATAAAACGTGCAACGACACACTTATAATAGAATCGGATTTTATTTGAAAAAGTATTTTTCAACTTGATACTCGTAGCATATGTTATCAGAGATGGGAAAATTTAAATATCGTTATATTTATAACTGTATTATTCACTTAATTATATCTGTATTAGTGTTTTAAATTATAACTGTGTTTAAAATAAGGATATGCTTTGATTATGAGACTATTTTGTTTCGTGCTTTTGCTTTTGGACTGTTTATTAAAAAGGTTATCAAAATTGCTTTACTATGCTTCGATTTTCATGCGAAATTGTAGAATACCCACCTAATTAACACAGTGTGTAAAGTATTTTTAAGTTATTGTAAAGAACAAGTTTAATATTATATTACATTTTCTTATTTTCATGCAAATTTATTAGAAATTGAATTAGATTTCCATAATGTGTAAATTTATATATTATCTTATTAGATGTTCAATAATCTAAGAGTATATAGAGTAGATTAAAGGAAATCAATTCAAATATAATGAGAGGATTTCAAATTTTATAGCTGGGACAAAATATTCTAATAGATTAAATTAACTTATCTAAGAAAATAGATCAATAAAAGCGAAAATTTTGATTTCAAAACAAATTTGAATCCTTTGACTACGAATTTTAAAAAATGATTTTTTTTGTCCCGTTTATTATTCAAAAGGACAAAATAGGTCACAAATAAGACAAATTTAGTATTTAGGATTTTTCTGACTAGCGGTTATCAATTTAGAGGCTGGGACATACATACCGGCTGTACTTAATGGTGGGATACATATGTCCATTAGTAGTTTTTAAACATTTGTTGGGACAAATGAGTCCCGTTAGTAGCCAAAGGGTTAAAAAATGCGCAATTTTATATTATGTACAAGTGATAGTTTTTCATTGTTTATGTTCACATTTTCTTTTTTAATTGTGTATTGCTTTCTAATAGCAGATGTCGTTAAATTAAGAAGAGAATTCTTAGTTTTCTTTAATTCTATTTCAAATATTTGGTTTTAAAAAAAAAGTTAGAAAGCTCATAACAATTACGAGCGTAATGCCAAACTCCGAAATAACGATGGGATGGGGAGTATATTAATTAATGAACAAATTAACAACTTTACCGTTTGAAAAAGTTCTAAAACGTTATTATTCTAAAATTCGTTGCTATTCTTTTCTTTAATATGGGCAGAATAGAAAGAAAAGAAAATACGTTACTGTTCTATTCTTTCTAATATAAAACGTTATTATTCTAAAAGTTACTGTTTTTGTAGAATTTTTGTGGAGTTTCAGAGAGAATAATGTTTATAGCTTTATAGATTCTGCCGTCGAAAAAAAACATTATAAATAAATAAATAAATAAGAAAAAATAAAATAAAAATTTCTATTTTTAAATCAGCGTTTAAATTTATTATTATTATTATTATTTTCTTTATGAACGCCGAATTAGGAATATATAAAATATTTCTTTGATTGCTGAAGCATAAAACCAAAAGGAATGTTTAAAACCTAGATTTTTAAACTTACTTTGAGCTATGTAATGATAGACCACATTTTTAAATGATTCAGAAGAGCATTTTTGATGAAAAACATCGTGATTTTCTAAAGTGATTCTGTATAAGATGTTTCTGTGCATTGGTTTGTTGTTTAGTGAAAATTTTTTCTGGAAACAATAAAGAAAAATTTAATGTCACCCTTGGAAAAAGTGTAGTTCATCAATATATCATCTCAAACCCATTATAAGTATGAAACATTTCTAATTTAAAAGAAGAAGAAAAAATCCGGTGTCTAAATGTTTGTTTAATTAGATTTATTTTATCTTATATTCAGAAAATTATTTAACTAAAAATGAATTTTAATCAATAATGGTTTTTTTTTAAAAAAAAAATTTTAAAAATTTCAGCAGAATTGTTTTTGTTTTGAGCAAATCGTCTATTTCAATATAGCAACGTGGAAAGTATCTATTTAAAAAATAAAGTGTCAGTTCATACATTTACAAAACAATCAATGTGCGTTCAAATGACGCACAACCACAGCTGCCAATTCCACTGGATTTTGCCAGTTTCTCTTGGTTTACTAGTTTAATTAAAATTCTCCTGGTCCATTTTAGAAAATTATCTAAAAATTGAGTAAGTTTCCTAAAAAAATTCCTGTTGAAATAGAATTTTTATACAGATTATTGCTTGCTTGCATAAATATTTAAATGAGTATTACTAATATATAATGAAGAGAACCTTATTTATTTGAAATCAGTTCAAAACTTTTTTTGCTATAAAATGTTCAGTTTATTTTTATTCAGAATTTTGTTTTTAAATTAATTTGAAAAAATCTTTTAACTATCTTTGATGAATTAAATGCCTGTTATTATTCGAAGTTAAGAGTAAACATATTACATAACATTTTAAGTATGTTTAATGCCCATCATAACTGGAAAATATCGCCGTTTTTCCATTTTGATGGCTATAAAAACCCCTAAAATTCTCTATGCGTAAAATATTTAGTACATTATTTAACAAATATTTTGAAATTCATTCTATTTCGTAAAATCGACTGGAATTCTTCCTTCCCACGTTGGCAGATATGCACAACATTTAAAGTGGTACTGGAAAAAAATGCTTTTAAATTTCCTTAGGACTTAAAACAACACAACGTCATTATCGGATTAATAATTTTGCACCATTAAAATCTGGAGAAGTTAATATTTGCAATCAAAAGTGGGTACTTTTTTTTAACCATTAGCTATAATTTCGGTCTCAATAACCTTCTGAAGTATTAGTCCCATTTTCTTTCATTTCATTTAATTCAGCGAGAAAAAAATATTTAGAAGACAAGTGATTTACATGTTTAGATATCAATGTCAGGTTCATAAATAGGTATAAGTTAACCATTTTACTTTTTGTGCTGAAAACTATTCAAACCGTTATCCCCATTATACCAATATACGATTTGGTGCTAGAATAAGTACCATTGTAACAATACCTTATTTGTGTAGATAGCAATATTTATGTTCCCTTTTCCTTCAAAGCCCGTGTAAGTTTGTGCAACTTTTTATCCCTAAGAGGAGGGTACTTATCTGTTTTCAATGTGTAGAACTTTTTTTTTCTTCTGATGTCTGGCTTTAATCAAATTTCTTACTGTCAATAATATTTTTTTCCTTTTGTTGAATATTGAAAGACGTCAATATATCCAGAAAATTTTATAAATATAATAAAAAGGTTCATGCCTAATAACAACTATTGTTGTATAATTATTAATGATATTTCTTCGAGCAAAAACGCAATAAATGCTTTTTATAT